AAACAAAGTCAAAAGAAAAAAGATAAAAAGAAAGAAAAAAAGAAAGAAAATCTAAAGAAAGAAAAAGAAAGAAAAAAAAAAGAAAAAAAAAGAAAGAAAAGAAAAAAAAAAAGAAAAGAAAAAAGAAAGAAATTTGAGAAAATGAAAAAAAGAAAAAAAAGAAAGAAAAAAGAAAGAAAAAAAATTTAAAAAAAAAAAAAAAAAAGAAAGAAATTTTCTAAAAAGAAAGGTAAAGAAAAAGAAAAAGAAAGAAAGAAAAAAAGAATGAAGAAATAAAAGAAAAAATGTAAAAGAAAAAAAAGTAAAAAAAGAAAAAAGAAAAAATAAAGAAAAGAAAGAAAGAATATTTAAAAAAAAAAAATGAACGATAAAGAAGTAGAAGAAAATAGAAAAAAAAAAGAAAGAAAGAAAGAAAAGAAAGAAAAAGAAAGAAAATAAGAAAGAAAGAAAAAAAAAAAAATCTAAAAAAAAAACGAAAATTTAAGAAAGAAGTGATATTATTTCTATGGTAGAAATAAAGAAAGAAAGAAGAAAGAAATTTAAAGAAGGAAAAATGAAACGATATAAGAAGTATGTAAGTAGAAAAGATAGTAGAAAAAAAGAAAGAAAGAAAGAAAGAAAGAAAGAAAAGGAAGAAAAATGAAAATAAAATTTTAAAAAGAATAAAAGGACTCAGAAAAATTTTTAAAATGTTAAAGAAAGAAAGAAAAAAGAAAAGGAAAAAACGAAAGAAAGAAAGAATAAGAAAGATTAAGAAAAATAAAAAAGAAAGAAGAAAGAAAAATTTAAAAAAAAAGTTATAAGATAAATGAAAAAGACAAAAGAATTAAAGAAATATAAAGAAAAAGAAATTGAAAAAAATAAAAAAATATAAGAAAGATATATAAGAAAAGAAAGAAAAAAATTTTAAGAAAATTTAGAAAGAAAAAGAAAAAATATTAGATATAAGAAAGAAATTTTACTATATATGTCAGAATATAAATAAAGAAAAATTATTTAAGAAAGAAAGAAAAAAGAATGAAGAAATATTTAAAAAAGAAAAAAAAACGAATTTAAGAAAAAATTCTTTTTAAAAGAAAAAAAAAGAAAAGAAAAAAATCTTGAAAGAAAGAAAATTAAATTTTAAAAGAATGAAAAGAAAGAAAAAAAAATAAATAAGAAAATATTAATTAAAAATGAAAAAAAGAAAACAAAAAAGAAAGAAAAAAAAGAAAAAATTTTTTAAGAATCGAGAATAAATAAAAATGAAATTAAATTAAAAAAAAAAAAGAAAAATAAAAAGAGAAAAGAAAAAAGAAAAAATTTTTAAAATTTATAAAATGGAAAAAAAAGTTAAAAGAAAAAAAAATATGAGAAAGAAAAAAATTTTAGAAAAGAAAAAAAAAAGAAGAAAAATAAAGAAAAAAGAAAAAAGAAAAAAGAATGAAAGAAAATGAAAATTTTTTATTAAAGAATTTTAAAAAAACGAACGATATAAAAATTTAAGTAGAATCCATGGTAGAAAAAAGAAAGAAAGAAAGAAAGAAAGAAAAAAAGAAAGGAAAAAAATTTTTATAAATTTATAAAAAGAAACGATATTGTTTTGAAAAAATATTTTTAAAACAAAAAAATCTTTTTTAAAAGAAAGAAAGAAAGAAAATCCTGCAGAAAGAAAGAAAGAAATGAATTTTTAGAGAAGGGGCAAAAACGAACGATATAAGAAATATAAATTTTTTTTAAAGAAGAAAGAAAGAAAGAAAAAAAAAAGAAAGAAAGAAAAAAAATAAAAATAAAAGAAATAAAAAAAGAAAAAAGTTTTAGAAGAAAAAAAAAAAGAAACGATGGTAGAAAGAAAGAAAAAGAAAATGAAAAAAAGAAAGAAAGAAAGAAAAATAAAGAAAATCTAGAAAAAAAAAAAGAAAAAAACCGAATATTTTGAAGGACAAAAACGAACGATGTAAGAAATATAAAGTAGAACTATAGTAGAAAGAAAGAAAGAGAAAATAAAGAAAGAAAGAAACAATTTTAGAGAAGGGACAAAAATGAACGATATAAGACGTATAAAATATAAATTTGGTAGAATGAAAGAAAGAAAGAAAGATCCTTTGACAGACAACAAACTGAAAACGAAATGACTTTTCAAATCATACAAAAATAATTCAAATAAACAGAAGTGAAAACTTAATAGAATTTCTTAAGAAATTTATATAATATTTAAGAATCTTTTAGGTAGGTATTTATGAAGATAACAGGAAGCTGATAGAATTTCATATTGTAACGATCGTATATGCAAAAAAAAAAAAAAAAAGATAAAATAACAGTGAAAAGTAAAGTTATATTAAGAAATAGTAATGGCGGCCAAATCGACAAATTTATCAAAATAGATAAAGCAGGGAAAAAATTGTAAAGAAATAGTGGAAGACAAGTCGAATATTCAGGAAAGATGATTGGAAACGAGGAATAAAGTGTTGAAGACGCCGGGAAGACAAAGACTAAAGCGGATGAAAAGTAAGTTGTCCATTAAGAAAGACGTAAGAACACAATGAAACGGAAAATTGAAAAAGAAACAAAAGATACATAAAAAACACTAGACAAATAAAGAAGACACTAAGTTTGTTGCCAATTCACAAAAGGAAAGTAAGATTCACGTAAAAAAATTAATAATTCTGGGATGTTCGTTTGTTGGATGAATTTATTTCCGAAATATGAATTACACGTCAAGAATAAAAGCAGAACTGAGATCGACCACTTCAAAAAGGTGTTGATTGTTTTGCTTGATCAATTACTTCTGAAGAGGGAGTTTGATCTATGCCAAACTGACCCATACAGATGATAGGTGACACTTTCCCTTGTCTTTATACCTGAGCAGATATTTTGAATTATAATATATATATATATATATATATATATATATATATATATATATATATATAATATGAATGCAAATATATATATATATATATATATATATATATATATATATATATATATATATATATAATATATATATGAATGCAAAATGTTGTGTCTATATTTGAGATGAGGTATTATGTACAGTATTTACATTAGTCGGACTATTGTCCTCATCTTTGTCGCCATATTTGTCACAACGTTTCGGTCGTTGTACGGAGAAAATTTCTTCAATGGAGTTTGGAATTTCGAACTGAACCCTTTATTTCGATCACTGGGGTAGACTGTTCTAGTTCCACGTGCCATGTTTGATGGATGCCAACCAATCATTCATCGGACAGTAATTTTTTTCAACTCCCAGTACCATCCAAGAAAGCGTAAAGAAAGGGATCGTCCGATGCTTACAACACCGAGCAAAAGTCATAAGTGGCGATCCAGAGACGTTAGATAAGGAATTTGTCAGTATAAGTAGTACCCTACAACGTAACAACTACACTGGGTACATGGCAGCAGCCCCCAAAAACTGGGATAGGCGGGTACAAGAGGAGGAGGAGGAGGAGGACAACAACACTCAGAAAACAGTCTGCCTGCCTTATGTGAAGGGGTTATCAGAGAAAATACAAAGGATCTGCAGGTCCATATAACATCAGGACAACCTTCAAAAGCGTGACAACACTTCGCAGATATCTCTCCGAGTAAGACCCCCACAGAGAGGAACATGACTAAAGACTGTGTGTACGCTATCCCGTGCAGCTGCGGAAAGGAATATAAAGGAGAGACAGGCCGCCCCCTTCAAGGTAAGCCTTCAAGAACACCAGAAAGCTGAAACACGAGCGGAAGTAGAAAAATCAGGCGTGACTGACAACATATGGAAAGAGAAGGGAGATCACCACCCTCTGTGGGATCATGTTGAGATCATAGACAGAGAACACCATTGGAAAATTTGTAAACTTAAAGAAATCAGCACATATGCTAGGCCACAAAAATCTCCTGAGCCGACCAAGCATAGAAATAAATACAATATGGGAACCAGTAATAAGGAGTGCCAGAGAAAAGCAATGATAACAAAAAATTGCAATATGAACTCTGGTAAAGACATGCAATGATAACAGCAAAATTGCAATAGGAGCACTGGTAAAAAATGATGCTGAAAACATTAGGTTTATAATACTCAGAAGTTCATACCCAGATGTCCTCAAGGACACATGGCACAGTGGATAAATGCGTTGGTTAGATCCAGTGACAGACCCAAAGAAGTTGAGTTCAATACATGGTTAAAAATTAGCAGGAGATAACTGATAACAGAGGAAAATCAAATTAGCGTGGAACTAGAATCGAAATAAAGGGTTCAGTTCGAAATTCCAACCACCTGAAGAAGGCCGGAGCGTACAACGGCCGAAACGTTGTGACAAATATGGCGACAAAGATGAGGACAATAGTCCGACTAATGTATATGAATGCAATAATATATATATCTCAGTATATAGACAAACTCTTAATTTAAAAAATTTCCTGAAAACAAAGGCTATTTACGTTCAAAAATAAATTTAGCGTAAAAAAAATTAAATATAAATCATTTTTCAAACGTTATCACAAATATGGTTCTCCATAAGACATAATATATATAATATTTATTATATGGCAAAGAAAAATCAAACAAATAAGTTTTGTTTAAAATTCAATCAAATGATATATATATATATAACAGGAAATCCTTCGACTTCAACGTATGAGGGTCAAGCAGATCAAAAATGGAAATTATTTAGCCCGACAACAGCACATGGGATTTGATTATAGTGGTAAAGATTTCGTGAAGGATCATCCAACTTTTTGAAGGTCGGAATACAAAGACCTGGTGCAGTACGAGAATTTAATGTCCCCAAACGACCCTCCTAACTTGGATATATATATATATATATATATATATATATATATATATATATATATATATATATATATATATATATGTTGGTGATTTTATCTTGTCGTTTTTATTACTTGGTTTTTGATGTTCTACCCAAGATAGGCGGATACTGTAAATATTTGACATTTTGCTAAAACTCAGTGAATCGCGGTATGGTTAAATGCTCCTCTTGTGAGTTGTATATTGAAAAACATGCTTCCTACAGTTTTTCGCCTTTGATAAACTAATAAATTCAGAAGCGATTTTTATAATATACACGGTGTTCATAAAGTTTCTTTACAATTTAAAAAAGAATTTATCCAAAAGGAAATGAACAAACACATATGTGGAAAAAGTTATAAACTGTGGAATAGATATTGAATTTCTTGTAACTAATATAACACACCTCTATATGTGCAGCATTATTTGCACGACGGACGGTACTTGATTTCTTGCCATGTTCACTGTAGCATTGGCTCAACAATGGTGGCAATAGCATCAGTGATCTTTTGTTTAGATCAGGGATGTCCCGTATTTTTTGTTCGATAAACGATATCTTTAATATAACCCTATAGAAAAATGTGTTGGGGAGTAATCTCTGGTGAACGATGTGGCTAAGGAATTTGGCCATCCCTTTCAATCCAACAGTCTGGAAATGTTAGAGGTACATTTAACAATACCCCTTTCATCAACAAGATACCTGAAATAAACAAATGCAAAGTGATTAAAAAGTTTGAAGAATAGCCATTTTTCCGCAGGTTCATGTAATAGTTTATCTTTTCATCAAAGGATACCGGAAATAAACAAATATAATGTGATTAAAATCTAGAGGAAGACTATAATTTTAAATGTTCATTTAATAGTAAACAACTTTCATTTTTAGGGTAACAAATAAACAAATTCAATTTAAGGGTAAAAACAAAATAATAGCATAATGGGTGAATAATTAAATTAAAAATAGGATACCTAAATAGACAAGTAGCCATTTTTGAAGACTAGCCATTTTTAGAGGTTCATTTAATATATGTTTCATCAAAATTTTGGATATCTAAAATAAACAAACAATCTTGAGTGATTAAAACTTTGAGAATCCAACAGAATTTTTATAGGTTTATAGAAATCAACAGGATATACTTTTATAAAAGTTTCACAACTGATTAAAAATTTGTTTATTTTGTTTTTAGATTTTATTTATTCAGTATCATGTTTCATGGAACAATGTCAATAAATGCAATGTTTTTTTGTTCCGAATTCAGGGTCGGGACACGATGTTCATTTAATAGTAACCTCTTTCAATCAACAGGGATAATAAATAAAAATAATAAATGTTGTTAAACCTTTAATGGTGAATTTTTAGGGTTCATTTAAGTGTAAAAAATCAATACAAATAAAACAAATGCAATGTGATTAAATTGGTTGAAGAAAGTTTTAGAGGTATTTAATATTTTGAACAGGATAGAAAACACAAATTTAAATAATTAGTTCTTTAGTAATTTTATAGTATTTTTAATCAACAGGATACCTAAAATAAAAACAAAAAATGTGATTAAAATTTGTAATTAAAATTTTAGAGGTTTATTTAATAGTAATTTTTAGAAATAAACAAATAAAATTGATTAAAATTTGTAAGTAGAATTAAATATAGAATTCAATGTAACATACCTCTTTCATCAACAAACAAAATTTTTTTAATGAAATGTTTATTAAACCTTTAAAGAGTAGCCATTTTAAATGGTTATCCTAACAGTTTACTTTTAATTTAAATTGGAAAACTGAAATAGACAAATTTAATGTGAAAAGACTTTGAAGATTACTTTTTAAGAAATCAAAAATCAACAAATGTGAAACACAATGTGATTAAAACTTTTAGCCATTTTAGAGGTTTATTTAATAGTTTTATTTCATCAACAATGGTACCGGAAATAAAAAATTGCAATATCATGATTAAAACTTTGTAGAAAATATAATTTTAGATGTACAATAGAAATATATTTTTAAACCTTTTTTTCAACAGGATAATTTGTATCATTTGTGATTTAAACAAATGCAATGTGATTAAAACCTTTAATAGCCATTTTATTCATTTAACAGATGTCTTTCATAAACAGGATTGAAATAAAAGAAATGTCCTTAATGAAGATAGCAAATTTTAGAAAATCTTTTAATAAATGACATCAACAGGATATATATATATAAACAAAATATATATTATATAAATTTATATATAGAGGTTTATTTAAAAACATATTTTCATCAACAGGATTTTGTAAATAAACCAAAAACAATGTTATTAAAACTTTGTAATAGAGCATTTTAATAGAGGTTTATTTAATAGTATCTCATCAACAGGGTACCGAAATTCGTGAATTAGCAATTTGATTAAAACTTTTTGTAAAATTTTTTTTAGATGTTCATTTAATAGCCTAAATTATTTATAATTTTATATTAGGGTTTCCGGAAATAAACAAATGCAAGTGATTAAAAAATTAAGAACAAAATTTTTATTTTTAAAGTAATTTTCAAAAAAAGGATTAACAACTTTTTCAAATAAAAAAGGTTTTCAAAATTTTTATGGTCATTTATTTAAACGGTATTTTTTGGATAATTTTGAATAAATGCAATATTTTTATTTATATTTCATAAATTGACATATTGAATAAATTTGATGAAGATATTTATCTAGGCTTGAATAGATTTTAAATTGTAAA